GATATAATAAACACCTAATAAAATTTAATGAAAAAGATCATTTCCTATCACCATGTGGTAATTGACAAATTAACTGGTATTGCCACTAAAATCATTTTCTTCATCTTCTTTTAACATGTTTTCATGACTGATACTTGTTGGGACTTGACAATTTATAGGTCAGATTAAAAATCTCAGGAATTAGTTGACAGAAATTCAATTTTAAAGTAGTTTAAACTGCACTAATATATTATCAGAGCCATAAAGATTATAAAGTTCAGTCTCAAACTTCTGTGACCTACAAAATGACTTATGCCAACACATGAGTCCTAAATAACAGTGTTAGGGGAAAGGCTTTATAAATCAAAGTCTGGAGTAGGTTTTAATAAGGTCGCATCCACATGTAGCATTACTGTGAGAGAAGAAAAATTAGTATCTTTCACAGAGATGAAAATACACTTGAGTAAATAATTCTGCGATGATTAGCTCATGGCTCACAGAGACGTGGAGAATGCAGAGAAGAGAGGCTGAAAGAGATGGAGGTGGTACCTAACCTCCTCTTCCACCAGGAGACAAGACAGGCGTCCCCGCATTTCTCCATCAGACACGGGAGATGCAGACCCTCCTGCTCACACATCAGGCTCCTACAGCCACACCTATGGTCAGTTTTGTTAGGCAGAACACATGTCTTGGTATTTAAAAGCAGGTGAATATTCTTGTGTGTTTCTGAGTCTACTTTTTCAGGCCTAAGGAATATCTTATCCCCTTTGCATCTTCACACTCACACCAGCAACAAGCTGCAGCCTCCCTACCAACACGTCTAAGGGCAGGGTCACAGAGCAGCCGCAGCTCCCTGTGTGTTCCCAGTAAGACCACAGTCAGTTAGCCGCTGTTTTCCATTTACATCCCTGGAAACACCACTGTCATTGGCTCCAGAGAACTGTGTGCATCTCCTGTGATGACATCACCAGGTAGTCGCAGATCCCCATTTAATTCATCATTTGCACAACTTCCAGAACAGATTCCGGAGGACACCACCCTCAATCAGCAGCAGCTTCCTACACAGTCTCGAGAACACCAAAACACACACCACAGCTGCTCTCTGCAGCCCCTGGTGACACTGTAAACGAGCCTCAGATTCTTCTACATCTTAGGACGTTCTCGCCATGGGACCACAGCATCCTCCTTTGCATCCCAGCGATAAGACCACCGATCTGCTGCAGCTCCCATCTACTCCCAAGGATCCATCGGCGGGTACCCAGCACTCCCTCTGCTTTCTCCAGGACACCACCATCACTCAGCTGCAGCTTCCCACTCACATAACTAAGAAGGCCACCCTCAGTGGGCCACCGTTTCCTATTTAGATCTGCAAGGAAATTGAACATGAGCTGCAGCTTCTTCACACCCCTAAGGAGACTGTCATCAATTGGGGATGGCATCCTCCTTGCATTCCCAACACCACCAACAGCTGGCTGCAGCTTCCTCTACCTTCCCCAAGGATAATGTCTCCTGCTGTTTTCCGTACAAAATACCTCATCCAGGAGGACAAGACTGTGTAAATCCCAACACAACTAAGACAGCTTACAGAGAGAGAACCTGGTCATTAGGCCTGACTGTGGAATGGCTAGGGGCAGGGGCCAGCTGACAGAAATCCACCTCTGAAGTTTCTCAGGAAGTTTAACTCGGGGAACTTCATGTCTGAGTGTGTGTTTAGGGTGAGGATGGACACCTCTTGCACTTCGCCCAGCACCCTGAGCTAAACACAATGTGCCCTCCTAGAGAAACTGCAGGACAGCTCCATGCTATGTGACAATCCATTCCTCGGACACATTCGTCTCTAATGACCCGAGTTCAAGTCGAAGTTTTTACTTGGTCCAGATTTCTAGCTTAGACAAGTTATATATGTCATCAGATTTTTATCTCCCTGAAAGATAACAATGGCTTTTCTTTTAATCAAGGATTGAGAATTCAGCAAAGAAAACCTCACACAACATTAAGGAAAAACCACGTTGATAAAAACTATTCCCAAGTTCAATTTCTTATAAAATGTTTGTTTTTCTCTGAAAGTTTAAGCTGTGCAATTTAAAAATCCCTTTAAACCACTTTAAAACATTTTATTTCATTAAACTCCCCCTGCTCCACACACCCATGTGCCCCACGCCCATCTTACCTGCTGTCTCATCAGCCAGGGTTCCTCAGGATTTTTAACACCAGGTGTGATCAACCTGGGTGCCTCCTGGGCCTTCTCCCTTCCCTCTGCTCAGCTGTATTGAAATACTCAAGAACAGTTTCCATACAATTTTCTGGTAGAATTTTGTTTTTCTGCAATTTACACGTGTGAATCTGTAAAAACAAGACAGAGATTCATGTGGACTGACATTATTTATGAAAAAGAGGAAGATGGAAACTGGCGTTACCTGGAAACCATACACACTGTACAGTTTTTGCATATTTTGATGCTAATTAAATTTGGTGCTTGCCTAAAATATTGATTTTGTTCATATCACTCATGTACACTTGTCATTCTGTATGGTTTTTAAAACTGTAATGAAGGGGATTCCTACAGACAGCACTGATGCTGTGTACTCATACATGAGCCAGTTCTTTCAGGTGTCTGATATAAAAAATAGACACAAGAGACCGGCTTTGTCTATTGCAAATGGTGATTCTTTAAAAACACAGAGATAACCAATTGTTATGATATATACAAACTAAGAACAGTTTCCCAAATAATAATTCTGGTTACCATACATTGCATATATATTATGTGCTAAGGGCTTTTTAACATTCTGCATTTAAAGAGAGATCAAAAGTAATATATGTAAACACATGTTCTAATGCCTGGTGCATTTTAAGGACTCGATAAATGTCTGCTGTTTTTATTAGGATAATGGATGCCACCATTTAATCTTCACAAGAGCCCTGTTAGGTAGGACTTTTAAGGCCTCTGATTTACACATGGAGGACCTGGGCGGAGTGGGCTGATGGCTGAGGTGAAGTGGTGTGGGCAGCAACATGATGGTGGAACCCCAGCAGGGCAAATGGATTCTCTGTGCTCCGTCCACTGTTACCGGGGTGGGGCTGGGGCCCAGAAGATGCAGGCTCCAGAGCGCGGTCACCTGTCTCCCGTCTGCTGCCCGCCTGCCGCCCCCAGCTGGAAGGGCCCATGCGGACAGACAGACGCTGTCGGGCACACAGACACCTCTGTGAGGGCGTGCCTCCCTCCGCCCTCCAAGGCCCCAGAGGACAGGCTCGCCTTCCTTGTCTTTGATTTTCTGTGTTTCACCTCTCTTCTCTCCCCTCCTCCTCCTTCATTTTCAAGTTCCCAGAGCTCAGTTCACAGTAATGACTTCACTTAAAACAACAACAACTAAATTAGCTTTCCCTCAAAATTACACTGGGGCTAGCAATTTCCAACTCTGTGCGGGCCTCCAGGACTCCACAGTCACGCTCTTTCTAAGGCATCACCACAGGTCACAGTGTTACAGCCGGGCGCTGCAGGTAAGCCAGGAAGGGACAAGTTTGACAGAATGCGTCAAGTCTTTTGACCAAAAGTGAGAGAACTCTGGTCCTAAGACTGAATAAGTCTCTGTAAGTCCACAGCAATATCCACTACAGAAAGCCAGAGAGGGAGAGGGAAATAGGGGAAAACAGCCAATACAGAAAGAATGCCCGCAAATAAATATACAGAGATTAAAATCATTAGAAAGATCACCAGTTTGCAACCACCACTGTAACTAATTCTTTTAGGGATTGCCAACTGACCCTAAAATCATTCAGTGAAAAGTGCTTTCAAGAGAATCGACTATTTGCATAATATCAGCACATCACAGAATAATTATTAACTATAAACAGAAAAGGCACCTTCCAATAGATAAATCTGGAGAGCACACAAAACCATCCAGAAGGACAAACTGACCTCCTGATAACACACGCTGGGAAGGAGGCCAAACATTACCTGTCTGATTTCATTTCCAAAGTGTTCAACCAGAACCTAATGAGGAAACAATCAGATAGCAATGCAGATGTGTGACAATTATGAAAAAACTGCCTGGTGTGTTTAGAAACAACAACTTATGTAAAGACAAGAACAGACAGGGTGGTGTGTGGGTGAAAGTTTGAAGAGACTTAATCACAAAGCTGAGGTGAGATGCTACGCTTCAATGAGCGTTATTAGCACAACAGGAGAAGTTTTATGAGTTTTGTATTTTGTAGCATCAGTGTTTATTAACATTAATGTTAAATAAAATTAATTAAAGTAATGTTAGTGTTGATATTGAACGTACTGAGTTAGATAATAATATTGGGATTATGCAGAATGCTTTGTCCTTAAGAGATATATGCGACAGGCGTTGGGGCTATAACGTCGTGATACTTTTTCTCTAAAGATTTTTTATATTTTCGGCCGTGCTGGGCCCTCACTGCTGTGCAGGCTTCTCCAGCTGCGCTGAGCGGGGGCTCCCCTTCACTGAAGTGTGTGGGCTCCTCGAGGTGGCCTCTCTTGTGCAGCACAGGCTCGAGGGTGCGGGCGCAGAGGCCATGGCACATAGGCTTGCTGGCTCTAGAGCACAGGCCTGGGTGGTGCAGCGGCCTAGCTGTCCTGCGGCATGCAGGATCTTCCCAGCCCAGGGACAGAACTGGTATCCCCCGCATGGTAAGGCAGGTCCTTAACCACTGAGCCGCCAGGGGAGCCCCATGTTTAAGCACTTGGTGCATACCTACGATAGCAGTTTCCACGAGTTAGCTCAGCCAACCCAGGCTTCTGCCTACTCACTGGAGTGCACGTTCTCTAAGCGTCGAGGGCTTCAGCTGATCATTCCTGTGTCTTCCATCACAGGGCAGGAGCTCAGAAAGACTTTTTTAAAAATCAGTTCCACTGGACTGAAAAGATGAGCATAATGACAGGGAAACGCATCCCTTGCTGTTTGACTGTGCCCGGCAGGCTGATCGAGCGCACTGAGTCTGTGCAGGGCTGGGGACGATGGAGCACCGACTATTAATAAGGGCGGCCTCCGGGCTGCATGAGGGCTCAGGGGCCACCTGCCATGGACTCATCACGGACAGCCCACGGAGTGGCACTGCTGCCATCACCACACATGGACACACGATGGCAGAACCTGAGGCCAGATGGGCCACTCATCAGGGACTCTGCACCCTGGGAGGTGGCTGAGACCCGGGTCCACGTGAGCACTGCCACCTCAGAAGCCCTGGTGGACGCCCAGCCACCCCTTCAGCATCGCACCCCCTTCACAAGTTAGGAAGACCGGGAAACCGTCGGCAGCACCGAGTCCTCTCTTCACGCCCTCGGCCATGGATTTGTTCTGCGGCACCCATGTCTCCTCCAGCAGTGGGCTCGCTTGAAGGTGCTTTCAGACGTGTGCTCACCAGGCTGGGAGGAAGCAGAATGGCTGTCCCACTGAGAATCCAGTGTTCACATCCACTCCTGAAGTTCACTGTCACAGCACTGTCTAGTCTCCAAGACAAAGTCACATGAAAGTAATTAGGATAATCCAACGCTTCTTATTAATATACACATAAATCCTTCATAGTCAATGAGAAAGGCAAATCCAGGTTATCACAAGTGTTACCTAAAAAAAGAAATATGTTTGTGAAGGACAAAAATCATACAATATAAATGATGCATAGAAAACACTGTATTTGTGCATTAGTGACTGAGCCCATCTTAAGGGTATGTAATGCTACAGAAGATTTCTCTACCCTGTTTAAAATAGTACTTCTGAGAAAAAGTCTGTCTCTCAAAAACAGTTTCTTAGTATCACCACAGTCTGCATATTTGGATGGTGGCTGTGTCCGAACATAATGTAAAGCCAAGAAAAATCTACTGTAATAACATTCCATTTGCTTTTCCAAGTGTTTCAGTCCTATAGGATTACAAAAGAAATAAATGAATACAAAGAAGAATATGTTTCATTTGAAAATATTTATTTTTTAAACCTGAATCTTCCTTTTTAAAATGAGTGGAAAAAGCAAATGCATTTTTCTGTTCCTTTAAGCTGGTGAGAGGGAGGAGGGGGAGGGGTGAGCCGGAGGAGGGTGATGTGAGGTTCCCACGGCCAGACTCTTCCGACCATTTCTGATACATTATCTCAGTCAAACCATATTGCAACCAGACTGCACATTTTATTAAGTAAGCAAAATTAACTATCCTTTCAATAGATTACGCCATCAAACTCAAGGCAGCCTATGAAAAGCGCTCAAATGCTGTACTGCCCTGGAGGTTAAAGCCCATGTTCTAAACATGTTTAAAGTGGGTTAAAGCCCATGTTCTAAAGTGGTGACTTTACATTAAAACCAGTCTTGCCTTATGGGATTTACCTCAAGAAACTGAATACGTTAGATTAGGTTATCTTTCAACTGATATACCCATATGGAAAAACCAAAGTCAAGGGACCAGGTACACTGTCTGCAATGTATGTACTGGTTCCAACGAAAGTAGTACTTTATTTATATATAGTTTGGTTTTAAATATGACATAGAAAAATGGTCAATGATTCCGAATGCTCCAACTTCTAGACCACTTGCGGATTTAGTCGACACTAGTGATTCTCAAACACACAGTCTCAGATCATGCTGCCTGCAGTGTGACTCTTCCGTACAGGCCCCTCACCCCTCTCAGATACTTCCAAGCCATGCCAGCCACCGCCCTGCCCACCTCCCCTCATCAGGAAGCGGGCTCTGTGCCCACCTTCACCTTGAGCTGCAGCACCCCCAGAGTCCCTCTGTTCAGACTGGACTTGTCCGATCCTCCACCCTGGTGAAGCCAGTCATGGACAACACCACATGCAGCTGAGCTCTTCAGCGATGACTGGATCACAGGATATCACAGAAATATTTAACTAACTCAGTTAACAAAAAAATCATCTGGAGATTTCTGGGCAATCTGGAGAAAAAGGTTCTGGTTCTAAATTTTCCACATTTTTTTTAATTTAAAAAAAAATCAAAGAAGTCAAGAGTCAGGGTCTATGCAAAAAAATTATTCTTCACTGACTGCCAATATCTGACAAAAATAAAACCTCACCCTTGATCCAAACATATTTAGAATTATTTTGAAGTTAAGGGTCTCTCTTCTGTTGAAAAATAATTGTATTGTGATATAAGATGGAGAATAAGAATAGGGTGCTACCCCAATGTTCATCGCAGCACTGTTTATAATAGCCAGGACATGGAAGCAACCTAGATGCCCATCAGCAGACGAATGGATGAGGAAGCTGTGGTACATATACACCATGGAATATTACTCAGCCATTAAAAAGAATTCATTTGAATCAGTTCTAATGAGATGGATGAAACTGGAGCCCATTATACAGAGCGAAGTAAGCCAGAAAGATAAAGACCATTACAGTATACTAACACATATATATGGAATTTAGAAAGATGGTAACAATAACCCTATATGCAAAACAGAAAAAGAGACTCAGATGTATAGAACAGACTTGTGGACTCTGTGGGAGAAGGCGAGGGTGGGATGTTTCAAGAGAACAGCATTGAAACATGTATATTATCTAGGGTGAAACAGATCACCAGCCCAGTTTGGATGCATGAGACAAGTGCTCGGGCCTGGTGCACTGGGAAGACCCAGAGGGATCGGGTGAAGAGGGAAGTGGGAGGGGGGACCGGGATGGGGAATACATGTAAATCCATGGCTAATTCATTTCAATGTATGACAAAAACCACTGCAATGTTGTAAAGTAATTAGCCTCCAACTAATAAAAATAAATGGAAAAAAAAAAAGAATAGGGTGCTAGAGGAAGAAACCACATGAGCTTGAGCATGGTAAGACTGATCATCTTTCCATCACATATTTCATACTCAAACATGCTATTCTAAGTTATTCAGTTGCTTTAAATTCTGTAGTCGTTATGGTCAAGAAAAAATGACTTGTCATTCCATGAGGCTGGAAATTAACCATGTATTTCTGTGGTATTTAACCCCTTGGAACCACCAGTGATTCACATTAAATCTTCTGGCCCCTACGAATAGTTATTGATATTTTAAATGTTAATTTACAAAAGGAATCAGAACTGTAGGCTTTGCTGGCTATTGTCAAGCAAACATGGCTGCTCTGCTGAGTCACAGACTGCAGAAGTGAGTCAAGAGCCCAGTGCTGACAAGGGGGAAGAGGCTTCAGTGGATGGCGGTACCCTGGGAGAAGAGAAACTTATAGCGTCAAGGGACTTAATTGACCCCACAGGGAATGAATGGAGAAAGGCCTGCCGCAGACGGACCTGTAGGGGATGAGCAGAAACATCTGTGAGAAAGCAGGCTTGCTGTGAGTTTCTATAATCCTGCTGATCTGGCAGCATTTAGCTTACAATCTTCCAGGACTGAAATGGATTAGCCTTCCCCAGGGCCATCCCGTGAAAGAAACACCCAGGCCAAATGAGCTCCAGACAGAAGCACTGAGCAGGAGATGGCCTCAGCCACAGGCAGGGGCTCAGAGGATGCCCAGGGCTCAGGGCAGGCCTCCAGGAAACATGAGTGTCACATTGCCTCTGGAGTATTAGACACACCATTTCAGTATCCGCACTGTTACTTACTCTCCTCTGTTTTCAAAATGCTGATTGCCACCCACACAATTGTCTGAAAAACAATGACATAAAAGCTGGTATCCAAACAGCCTTCTCCAGTGTCTAGGCCAGGACCAGGATAGGCAGAAGCAGAGTGTGCTGGGCTGGGGAAGGACACAGCTGTGGCTGGAAGCATCTCAATTTCCTGAGGCCACCACAGCCACCAGCTTTGATGCTACCAAAATCCACTTTATCATCTCAGGACTTTACAGTCTCCACTTAATCATCCTCATCCAGATGGGCCCTTAGGACCACTTTTTAACAACAGCTACTCAGGAAAGATGGAGAAGAAAGTGGCAACCCACTCCAGTATTCTTGCCTGGGAAATCCCATGACAGAGAAGTCTGGCGGGCTACCGTCTACAGGATCACAAAGAGTCAGACAGAACTTAGTGACAGGGTGTGCACTCAGAACTTAGTGACAGGGTGTGCACTCGTGTACTTTCAGGAAAGAATGAACATTCCAACACATTCACCTTGTATTCTTCTTTGACAAAGACCCAGAACTAGTTTCCATAACTGATACAAACTCAAGAACATCCTCAATTTATCTTAAGCCAGAGATGTAGTATCATCAACACGTTAACATCTTTCACTACTAAATACTGGAAGAAACTGAGTGTTTTTGTGGAAGCTTCATCCCAGCAAGGCTAACTTCCCAAAAGGATGACCTCACTCGGTTCCCACTTCACACACAGAGGAAAAGCAGATCCATGCTGGGGCCCCCAGGATCCCACAGGAAAGCCATCACCCAATTCAGAGACCTTGACTGTAACACACTTTGGATGAATTAAACCTAAAAAGCAGTTTGATGTGCCAACAAACCAAAGAACACCACCACAAGTGCGGGAGTAAATACGGTGCAGACACCTGCAAAGTGACGAGGTTACGGCCGGAGGCTAAGAGTGGGGACGGGAGGCCCACGGGGAGACCCCCACTCCAGGGGTTCAGGAGGCTGTTTGGTCGTGTCAGGTAACTGAATCCATGGCTGGGATGTGGCAGCAGGTTTCTCACAAGTGTGAGGGGGCACTAGAGAGGAGAGTGACTTAGAACTGCCATGAGCCACAGGAAGGGGCCTGAGGAATGCCTCTGTGTGTTTGCCTGCTAGCAAAATATGTGCATGTGTGATGAGATCTTACAACGTGCATTTTATATTATTAGCCACAAGACAGGTATTAGTCTATCAAAGAACAAATTGGATCCAAATTTTGCTTCTGGCATTGAATATGTTACAGTTACCTGCTCAGATGTCTCCAGCTTTTAACTATTATCTGTGGGAGAGACCTTTAACATGTGTCATAGGCCTAGTTTCCAAAATAGCCTTTCCTTTTTATTTCCTTCTGAGAAGTCTCTTGGATGCTGGAGAAGACCGAGTCGAACCTTTCTTTGACAGGGTTTGTTCAGAAGGCACAGAGAAAGCATGCAAGCTCCACCCACCAGGACTTTTGTTCCCAAAATCTAGATTTTACAATGTCGGCAAGCCTTCTGACAGGAACAGGGAAGACTGAACTGCTTCTAGAGCTTCACTTCTGTTCATGGAAAGGCTCCACTTGTGAGACCAGTACAGCTGTTTTCATTTCTTCAAGAACCGGGGAGCCACCCGAATGGTACGGGGGCCACCCCCACCCAACTACATTCTCCCCAGTCTGCTTCCTCATACCGGGGACGGCC